GCCAGCTCCAGGACGGTCGCCTGCCCACCCCACACTGCTCCGTGCGACACACGAGGGCGCAGGACACCCCCCCCCCCCCAGCCGGGGAGGGGGGGGGCCGCATGGGACTGATGAGGGATGGGACCAGGTGCCGTGGCATGGCAAGGCCGCAGCTCCAGGCTTCGCGGCTGCTCCCCAATCCCCCCCCCCCCCCCAGGACGCATTGACACAGTGGCATCGTGCAGTGAACAATGGCCCACCGGGGGGGGTTGGGGGGAGGAGCCTGGCGCTGGGTACTCACACCCCAGGGAGTACGAGTGGGGCTGAGTACACACCAGGATGGGCCCCCACCCCCCACCCTCTGGCCCCAGTAATGCTGCAATCACTAGTGATGGGCTGGGTTGGCTGGTGCCTGCCCCTGGGTTCTGGGACACATGGGGGCCATAGTGCCTGGCAAGCGTAGCTGGAGGAGCCGGGGGGGGTTGTCAGTTCCCCAGGTTTCTGGGGGATGGCTGCGCCCCCCCATGTGCCTTCTAAATGTACCCCCTAATGCCGTTGTGTGTTCTCATCATCACCCCACGCACACTCACCCTAAACAGACCCCCCCCCCCATAGACGACCCATACATGCTGCGTGTGTGTGGGGGGGCAACAACCCCAGAACAGCTCAAGTCATACCCCCCCATCCCCATCCCCAGAAAGCAGCAGCCCCCCTCCCCTGCAGGTCCCATCTGGTCCTCTCCCTGCCCGGCACAGCTGCTTCGCTGGGAGGTGGCCCCCGGCCACACCATGTGATGAATAATCGGGGGGGACATGTGACAGTCCCCCCCCACACACATGCCCCTCCACACTTCACCTCTGCTCCCTCGCATGTGTTCCAGCATCTTTGGCTGAACTGAGCAACCTGACCACTGCCCTCCGCCCTGGCCCATGCCAGGGGCCTGCCTGGTTTGCCTTGGTCCTGCTCACAGGCTGCAAGACCTGCACGCCTGGGGCTCCTCCTCTCCTCACATCAAGGTGCCTTGTCGTCAGTTAGGCCTGGGGCCCGCCAGCCACAACCCCAGCAGCACTATGGTGTGGTGCCCATGGGGCGACCCCCCCAACACACACACACTCGGGGCCCAGGCAGGAATGAGGGTGTCAGCAGACGCACCCATCTGAGTAACAGGGTCTGGCTTACACTCCAGTGTGGTGACTGGGGCAGTTTCCTGTCTCCAGGCTGGCGGTTCAGGCTCTCTGCAGACTCAGACAGCTGTGGCTCCATCGATTGTACCTGGGTCACAGCTCCATGCTTTGTTTCACATCCATAAGGCCTGGAAACGCACTAGCTGAGAGGCCCTAGTCAGGATGCTCCTTCGTCTGGCCCTGGGCATGGCGCCTTGAGCCCCTACTGCCTGGCACCATTACGCCGTGTGGCCCCGGCTGTGTGAGGGACCCGAGTGCGTCGAGCAGACACCTGGGGCAAAGCCAAATGCTAGTTTATAAGCCGCCCTTTTACCGGCCAAACGTAATCGCCGCGGCATCTGCTCGTCGTCAGGGCGATTAGCCCTGGCTGAAGTTTTGCGCCCATTAGTGCCTGGGTCTAAGTGGCCGGGCCACTGGTGGTGAAGGCCTGAGGGCTAGCGAGGGCTGGACTCTGGAAAGCCCCAGCCCAGCTCAGCTGCTGCGCCTGCTTCCCCACAGCAGCGTCGGGGGTCCAGCATCAGGGTGTGCGCCTCCTGCCTGGCCCCGGCCCAGTGCGGCCCAGCCCTCGCCGATGATGTGGGCAGCCAGGAGGCCGCTGAGTAGCAAACGGGGCCGTGCTGTGAACACCCGTGTCCTCGGCCCGGCCCTGAGCCTCCCGGCCCAGACCCCGTCTCTGTGCGGGGTGACTGGGGCCCAGCGTCACAAAGCTGTTCAGGGCTGGAGTCAACGCTCACAGCCCAGGACGCACCTTCCCAGCCGGCTCAGCCCCTTCGAACACAGCTCCTGCCACCCGTGTCGGTAACGTGGTTCAAAGAGCGACCGGTACAACGAGGTGCCGGCCAGGGCGTGCCGCGTAGGGCGAGGAAACCACGCTCTGTGCGCTAGGGGCTGACGTGCGGATCCTTGCTGGGGGCAGCGCTGTAAGCGTCCCGCTACCAGGTCTGTGTGACTGCGTAACAAGACCGTTACCCGCGTCAGCCCTGGCCATCGCTGGGGTGGGCATGGCAGCTCAGCATGAGCAGCGAGCGGCCTTGCCAGCCGCTGGCTGGAGGAGGGGACGGGGGCGTCCAGCCTCCTGGGGTCTGTTCGCCTCGGCCACGGATTTGCTGCGTCACCGTGAGCAGATCACTTTACCGCGCTGTGCCTTGGGGCCCCAGCTATGGCGTGGGGGCCAGTGCTAGGGTGTGAGGCTTGTTTCACTGCAAGGAGAACGGCAAGGCTCAGTCGAGAAGAGCTGCAGCCAGGCAAAGGCCTTTTACACATAGTAGCGGGCCCAAGCTGAGCCTGGGACCCCCACACAGAAGGTCGCTTCAGGCCCATTGTGGCTGCCTCGCTCCGAGCACGCAGGCTTCTGGGCAAAGCCAGTTTGTACTGAAGGGCGCAGCTGGAAAAAGTCACCTCTGACTTTGGCTTTACTGGGGGCACTAAATCACCAGCTCTGCTTTAGCCCGGGCACTGGTGCACTGCATCCTCCGGCGCTGGCAGGCCGGGCACAGCTGGGCCGCAGCTGACGCTGCTCTCAGGGGGTCACAATGATTGTTCATCTCCTCCCCTTTGTTAAAATGGTGGAGTAATGAAAAGAGGACATTGCTTCTCCCTTGTTCTCAGTCATTCCTTCCCTGAGGACCTGGGAGGAAATTTGGAGCCGAGCGCTTGTGCTGTGATTTGGAAACAGATCGGTTCTGCGACTCAAAGAAGGAGCAGGCTTAGTGCTGGGGCCATCCAACAGCGTGAAGAGCTGCTGCTTGTCTGGGGTTCAAAATGAGGCGAAGGTGAGCGATGCTCAGACCCACCACTGCCAAGCTGGTTACATTTGTTGCCAGCTTTTTTTTGCCTTTAAAAAAATTAAAAGCTATTCCTTTAACAGGCAGCAACGGAGTTAAAAGTTCTCACTGCATTGCCCCCCTCCCCCATTCCCACTTAGCAGAGTGGAAGTGGAACCCCCACATCTCCTGGGTGTGGGGTTCTGGCCCATCAAGTGGCACCAAGACCACTTAGAGAGAGATTAATGAGTCTGCCCTACAGCCTTAGGGCCATAGCCTAAGGGCCATGTGGTGTTTCGCGCATGCACTAAGGGCCAGAGGCCCCAGGTTTGATCCCACCTGCCGACGACTGGGAGTCTGGTGTCATTACAGAAGGATGAAGAATAGTATGTATAGAAGCAAAAGCACGGAGGCTGCTGTGTTAATCACAGGGTTGTCATGTGCCATGCTATTTACCATGTGGTCATTAGCGCTAGGTTGTAGGGTAACTGACGATTAACTAAGCCCCTGTCTACACACACAAGGGGTGTTGATTCTACCAACCCAGGTTGGAAACTCATAGTTAAATGGGTACAGTGTCCAGCACAAATTCATTACAGGGTTAGTGATCTTCCTACATGGGGGCCAGCCTCGCCCCACCCTCCCTTGAGCAAGCAAACACAGGTGCAGAGACAGGTTTTGCACTGCCTGAGAGCAAGGGCTGTGACTCTGAAGAGGAGCAGGCGGGGAGTGGCACTTTACAGCTTTGGCCCCATAAATGGCACTTCATATGACCGATAGCGTTGTACTCTATTGTGTGACCCTTCCCAGAGGTAGCATGTGCTAGAGAAGAGACCCAGCACTCTCGTTCTGAGCCGCAGACCCGCGGTAAGCAATAACATGACCAGACCTGAAGCATATTCAGACACATGCAGGGTTAGTAAGGCAGACAAGCCACAGCTGCTCTCACATCATGCACTTCTAACTGCTGTGCCTGGTAACTCATATTCACCCTAATCAAGCTGGCTAGAAGAGCGTGTGCTTGGGTGGGTAAACTCCTCTGGTGATTTTGCCAAGCTGTCTGTGTTTGCAGAGTAGGTGTGTTTTCACTGTCCAGGAGTTTCTCAATATTCAGGAAGCCAGAGGTTGCAGGAGGAAGGCTGTGAATAGCTGAGCCCAGGGCTGATATTTACATGTATGTTGTCAGCCTGTGATGCAGCGATACCTTGTGTAACTTGGATTTTATTCTGTGCTGCTCACTGAACGACGGACATGTTACACTAGAAAGTACAGACTGGTCTTAGCGCCGCTGAAGGCCCTAGGCTAAGTGCAACTGCCGCAATTCTGCTGGACATGGAGCTTAGGCTGTGTCGAGATCCCCGGGAAATCTGCACCCCTTCCTGCAGGCTCTGTTCCACAAGGCCTGCCTCTTGTGGGGGACCGATGGGGATTCGCTGGCAAGGCAGGAGGTGGGTTTGGGCAGTGGCTAACGGCGCCACAGGATTAAAGCCCATGTACTAATACCACTGTCCTCTCTCTCGCATACGGCAAGGCGTTCAGTACCACAGCAGCTGTCCTAGAGACTGAGACAACCAGTTCTCTGCAGCGCTTTGTGCCCCCCTCTGGAATTGCTGGGTCAGGACCGAACACATGTCTTCAGCTAAAGAGCTGGAGCACACCATTCTCACCCCAGCTAGGGCCTGCAAGACCCTCACTTCCTGCCCTCCTGATTAACCCGTTATGCCGAACCACACAAGCCAATCACTAAATGCCTGGCGGTAGGAAGAAGCTTCCCCAGGGTGCAGGGTATCCCACCTTCGTCTGCTGCTGCTGCAGGCTGTCGGCAGAGCCAGGACACTGGGCTAGATCCACCCCTAGTGATTCCTCCTCGACGGAGGAATCTGGGAGAGACTGGACAGGACCCGGAGTGCTTGGGGGTGCTGTGCATGGCCGTCAGAGAGCACTCTGCCAGCATGGGCTGGAACGCTGCAGGCTTTACCTGGTGAAAAGCAGCTCACCGCTGCCAAGGAAGGACAATGGTCTAATGAGGCTCATTATCTCTGCCATTTATAATCAGCCACACACACAGGGGCAATAACAACTGCCATGAATACATTTTATTATAGACCTGACTCAGGACTCTCAGGCGGTTAAACAGAGTGGCGATGGTACGTAGGACACCATTTTTTCATTTACCCAACAGCTGCATGTCAGCTACTTTTTAATCACCGTAAGAAAGAACCAAACCCTTATCAAACCTTTTCACCCAGATAATCAGCTGTGCTGTGGAAAATGGACACAGAGTATTTTACATTTGCACCTTTATTCTAGCACAAAAGGTTAACTGAAGAGCTAGTAAAAAAGAACACACTAGTCCACACTCTGTGTGGTTCTAAGATGAGAACAGCAGAAAAGCTTTTAGCACTGGGAAGAACCAAGAGAAGGCTTTAAAGCTCATTTGGATTCAATTTTGGTCCAGGAGTAACCCAGTGTTAATGCAGCTTTGTAATTTCATCAGCACAAATCAGTCTTTACAAAGTGTCGTTTGGCTTTTATTCTAAATGAGGCCAGGCTGGAGATGGCGTCTCCTCGCCCTGCATTAGACACAGAAATAGGTCACCGAGTGATGGTCCCTTTTGTAGGTACAGCAAATAACAATGCAATGCTCATGAACACTGTGCAAACATTGACACGGTCAGTATCAAATGAGGCGCTGTCCCTATCCCACAGGGCGACGCACCCAGGACGTGAGGGCAGGCAGTGTTATGTGCCGTTGCACTGAATCGGCATACATTGCATGTACATAGGGGCTTTCGCTGCTCGAACTCATTCAGCCTCACAGTGGGAGGAGGGTAAATATTATTAGCCCCATTTTACAGGTAGGGAGACTGTGGCATGGAGGAGCGACATGCCTTGCCCAACTCATGTAGCCATGTCAGTGTCTGAGTTGGGAGCAGAACCCTGGTGCCCTGATTTAACCACTAGACTGCACTTCCTCCCTGAGGTGAGGTGCCCTGGTATGTTCCTGGAACAGCTGGAGTGTGGCGCGGAAGCCTAGCGCACAATGGGGTGGACACACCTTTGCACGGGGCATTGGTACACACACTTCACTAGCTGCTTCTCCCACCACCGAAAAGGCAGTGCTGCCCCCAGCAGACAGCGCCGAGCGGCCTAGTCCTCGGGGATCGGCGTGTTGCAGTTCCCATGGTAGATTCTGACTTGGCCCTCGCACCTGAAGTACTGATCAAACACGTCGCTGTACCCGTGCTCCCTCCACCAGGAGCAGAGCTGCCGGTTCCAGGTGCAGTTCAGCACGTGGAACAGCTCGGGGTGCTCCATGCCAATCATGGTGAAGAAGTCCTGGTCCCCCAGGTGGCCCTTGAAGTGGTACTTCTCCGTGAGCTGCCGCACCATGTCTGGCTCCAGCAACTGGTTGTAGAGTTGGGACTGGCGCATGGCTTCCAGGTCCAGCAGCATGACCCCGCTGTTAAAGCCAGGCAGTCCGTCAGGAGGGGGTTCACCCACCTTGGTCTGGGGGTTCTCACGGCGGAACTGCCAGAAGGTGTGCCTGGAGAAGGGAGAAAAGCACAACATGGGGGCGTTACAGGCCACAGGCAGATGGCTCCAACAGCAACCAGGTTTGGGCTGAGCACAAGCCTCGCAAGAAGCACTAACTCCACCAGCTACAAAAATGCTCTCTGTACCCCAGGGAAACTCGCTCACCCTCAGCATTGCCCCTGCAGGACTGAGATAAAAGTCCACCCCGGGACCCATTCCTTGCAAGCCCACACTTCTCCAGGCTCCAGGTGTTCCGGGTGGACAAGGAATGCAAGCCTGAGCTCACACCTGCCTCAGGGACTCCTAGATTTAAGACCAGAAGGGATTATGGGACTGGAAAGGACCTCAAGAAGTCATCAAGTCCAGCCCCCTGCAGTGAGCAGGGCCAAGTAAATCTGGACCATCCCAGTGACGGGGATTCCACAACCTGCTTCGGAAGCCTGTTCCAGAGCTTAACCACCCCGAGAGTTAGGTTAGATATTAGGAAAATCTTTCTAAATCAGCCTGGCTGCAGATTAATCCCATTACTGCTTGTCCTACCTTCAGTGGACATGGAGAGCAATTGATCCCTGACCTCTTTATAACAGCCCTTAATAGATTTAAAGAGTGGTACCATTGTGGTCATTTTGTCTGACCTCCTGCATAACACAAGCCAGAAAACCTCACCCAGTAATTCCTGGGTCAAGCCCCTAATGTTTGGCTAAGATAGAGCAGGGCTTTTGGGAAGACATGCAGTCTTCATTTAAAAATGGCAAGTGCTGGAGAATCCACCCCAACTCTTGGTAAATGATGCCAACCATTAATTACCCTCCCACCGTTTAAAAATGTGCCTCTTATTTGTGGTTTGAATTTATCTAGTCTCAACTTCCAACCATGGAATCATATTAAGCCTTTTTCTGATCAGTTACAGAGCCCTCTGCTATCAGAAACTCCTACCCAGGTAGAGCTCGCCCTTCTGTTGGGTAAACTGGTCTTTAATCCCTTAACATGGGCTGCACCGATTTCTGTAGTGTGCTGTTTTTATCAGGAAGTTATGCAGACCTCAGTCAACACAGTGACCTCTATCAGCTACACTTGTGATCTCCTCACAAACAGGACGACGGGCTGGTGTGACAAGTCCTGCTTCCCACAGAGCCCCCCATGCTGATGGGCATTCATTCTGTTACCATCTTTTCATGCTGTATTGCCGGCATCCCCCATCAGCCTTCCCAGGGGTTTGCGGGGATCAGCATCAGGCTCCCCAGTGTCCTGGGTCACCCTGCTTGGTCCCCTGGGAAGGATCTGCTGGTGCAGAAAAAGGCTTGGAAGATTAATGGGCTGCATTGCAGGGGTGCTGCAGACTGAGAGGTCAAAGGCCTTGACAGCTACTGGCTAACCCAGCCCGTGAGCCGCTCTGCAATGTGTGCTGCCGATGGGGCACTCAGGGTTCAGCTGCCCTTCAAAGGCAAATTCTAGAAGAGAAACGGACTAAAACAGTGAAACAAAGTGGGCCAGATTCTGCTTGTAGGCCCTCTGGCGTCAGTCTGCAGTGACTCCATTCCCGCCCGTATCACTGGGGTCACAAGCTCTCCCACTACAGGAAGGGGCTGGGAATTAAAGCCAACCCCCGGTGCCTCCCAAGAAAGGATGGAAAAGAGGCCAGACGAGCTCCCTGCAGAGCAACACTCAAACCCTTCTCAGCCCTGCCACCATTTCTCAAGGTCCCGTGAACACTGTTCACACGGAGCCCGTCAAAGCTCCATCCCAGACAAAGCCTCCCCGCGGCAGGGGTGACGGCAGGAAGAGTCACAACGGGGCTTTGTGCAGGGCCGCTGGGTTACCCAGACACAACGGTCCTGTGAAAGACGCACACAGGAGTCTGAGTGGCTACAGAAGAAGCCCCACGCAGCTCCTTCCCCAGCAGTGACGCCATCAGTCCCTCTGCCCTGCGAACCCCCCTGACTTCTTCGGCATAACAGAGCGCTCGCGGGAGAGCTCTCTGATGTGTTGGCTCCTGGCGCTCGCGTCCTAGTGCAGAGACCTGCACGGGAACCCCACACAACCCCGAGCAGCTGCGAACAATAGCCGTGGTTCAGCTGTGCGTGCAGCAGGAACAGGCTCCTGACTCGCAGAGGAAACGCAGATCAAGTTGCTCTTATGTCCTGTCTGCAGGGGCCCTGCGATGCCAGGACTGTGGCAGGACTAGGTGAGCCAGCAGTCCGGCTTCTTCCTCTCATTTTGGACAGGCATGAGACAAATACAAGGGTGGGACTGTGCGGTCCATACACAGCACTGGTCACTTTGGACACACCCTGCGTTCTTTGGGCACCGAAACTCCCCCTGGAGTCACACTGTACTTGCACAGTGGGTTGAGTTTGCTGCAGTCAGTGCGGCTGCCCCAGTTCAGGCCACCTTCCTTCATTCCAGGGCATCCTGATGCACTTTGCAAACTTTTCACCACTGACATGCAGCCACCTCTGGGGTGGAATGTAGTAGCTCCGTAAGAGCACTCACCCATTTCAAAGCATTACACCATGTCCAATGGCGGCTGCATGGGGATTTCAGGAAAGCTGCTGGAATCTGACCAAGACACCATGACTAAAGCCACTGCGCTCACTGTGGGGTTTTAATGATCACCATCAGGCAGGTCCTCGGCTTTACCTCTTGGCGGAAAGACAGTGCCTCCAGGAGCCTGGGGCTCCCTGGAACAGCACCGAGGGCTGACTCAGCAGAGCACTGAAACACCACGCCCACGGCCTGAAGTACCATTGTGATCTCTGGGGGCCTTTCACGCAGGCAGAAAATCAGAGCTCGCCTGCAGATAAAAGCTTTGTATACCCACGTGGGAGGGGAATAAGCTGGGCTGGCAGGAGCCCTGCATCCACACCAGGCAGAACTATTGCAGTGAACATCACACCATTGATCCAGATGGTGTAAGTGGTTAAAACCAAGCTTTGGTCTGGCCCTGCTTAGCTCACAGGACTGGTGAGCATCACAGCACAAAGCAGCCCTTCTGTTCCTCCAGTCAGTCTCTGTCCTCTCTCTGGGTGCCCACAAACACTGGTTTCATGGGGGCAGGGTCCCAGCATCCTGTCCTTGGGAGGATACTGCACCCCCCTTGCGTGGACTGGGGTCCACCCACAGCCCTGCACGAGGGGGGAATGGCAGCAGTGCATAACCATCCTGCTGAGGCTTAGCGGGCTTGGTTCTGATCTAACTGCACTGCCTCCTGACTGACCCTCGGATCAACGAGCCCAGACGCAGACCCCTGAGGGACTGGACGCTGTCTGCTGGTGCCTAGTCACCGCCTTGTTGCTCTTTCAGCCCGTGGTGCAGTGCAGGCTAGACGCTAAGACCCCACTCACCAATCTGCTAGTCCAGGGGTGGGCAAACTACAGCCCATGGGCCGGATCCGGCCCGCGAGCCACACCACATAGCTCAGCCCCGCTCCGGCCGGGGTGCTGGGTCGGGGGCCGCACCACCCTTGAGGTAAGTGCTGCTCAGAGCCTGCACCCCCTGAGCCTCTCCCCATGCCCCAACCCCCTTGACCCAGCTCTGATCCCACTCCTGCTCTCCAAAGCCAGACCGGAGCACCCTCCTGCATCCCAAACCTCTCATCCCCAGCCCCACCCAAAGCCCGCAGCCCCAACCGGAATCTGCACCCCTTCGTGTACCCGTCCCAGCCCTGATCCCCCTCCCACCCTCCAAACGCCTTGGTCCCAGCCCAGAGCACCCTCCTACACCCCGAACTCCTCATCTCCAGCACCAGCCCAAAGCCAACACCCCAACCCCCATTTTGTGAGCATTCTTGGCCCGCCATACAATTTCTATTCCCCGAAGTGGCCCTCAGGCCAAAAAGTCCCCCCGCCCCGTGCTAGTCCCTCTGAATGAGAGAGGTGGTCACTGCCGTTCAGGGCAGGTTTTGCAGCTCCCCCGCAGAGCAGCCGCAATGGGAACAGGTCCAGCTCCCTCTCTTCAAAACATGACCACCACCTCAGAGCCACATTAACCAAGAGTGTTGCAGGCGTGGCAGCCCCCCCCCCCGCTCGTCTAGATCTGCTCCTCTCCCGCACCGGAAGCGGGCTCCAGGCAGGAACTCAGTCAGACACAGCGGGGCACACACAACCCAAACTTGCTGATGAAGGCTGTTTGCAACATTGGGCAGGCGTGTCCGAGCCAAGAGAGGCCTCCGGCTCAGAGTGTGGCAGGATATGTTCAAATGTGCACACCAGCAGCGGTGTGGTGGTGTGTTTAAATGTTCCAAGTTCCTATGCACTGCTCTGAATCTACACATCCATGCCCGGACCGCTCCAATAATCCTCCACGACCCTTGTGCAGCCAGTGAACCAGGCTGAACGGCAGCATTTACAGCCCATTGTGCACGGGTGTCATGACTGTGCAAGCAGCAAGGCAGCGGAGAATCAGGCCCATTGTTAGCAATGTACAGAGAGAGAGCTGGTCAGAGCACAGGACTGGGAACCAGGACCCAGTGGGTTCTCAGCTCTGCACCTGGCCCGGTGTGACCCCAGGACACTCACATGCAGCCAGACCTTTCCCAACACTCGGGTCTCACAATGTCTGGGTGCACAACTTGAGCCTCCAAAGATGAGACAACTGAATCCAGTAGGTGCTTTTGGACACAGCAGAGTGAATGGCTCTGTGCCTCGGTTTCCCCAGCTGTAAGTGTAATGTCCATCTCACAGGGGTGCTGTGGCACAGGCTGATTAGAAGGCGTCTTGTGGCTGAAGGTTGCTAGACAGTAGAGAGACGCTCTCCGATCCGATTTGGGCATAACACTTAGGGTCTGTAAAAACAGGCTTTTTAAAACAGCTGACAAAATCCCTAAGAGCAGCAGAAATGTTCTGCGAAGCTCAAAACAACTCCCACAGAAACAGATTTATTAAACTAGACGAACACCCCTGCAGCGTTTGCAGCCCAAGCCTGGTGGACAGACAGCGAAACTGACAGCAGTCGCACTGACAAGTTCGTTTTCCAGCCACCACGCTGAGTAAAAGCGAAGGGTGAGAGACA